ATGGTCATCTTTTCAATGTCAAGATGAAATTAATTAGTTGTATTTTTCAAATGATTTAGACATTGAAAAGATTTTAATGTCGATTGAATTACAAATGTCTAGGATATAATATAAAAACTGCCTGAAATATAAAAGACTGTCACATTCTCTCTATCAAATTGAACATTACCAATAATTTCCCAAGGATATTTATATAAACATTTGTCTAATTTGGCTTATTGGGGTTATTGATTACTCTGGTGACTGTTTTTTTTTTAAATTGAAACAAGTATGACAAAATGTAAAGTTATTTTAATTTTACTTAAACACTCACCACTTACACTTGCATGGGCATAATGTCACTTTAAGTACACAAGGTCATTTCATATTTCATTTAAAATACATTGTTCATTCCCTTTATACAATTAAGCATATATTCTGAGAAGAAAATAGAATAAATAATCACTGCTGATTTTCAATAGATATGGAATGCCCCATTAATCAAATTTTAATTACATTACCATATGTACAAAATGTATAAATAAAATACCGAAAGACCAAACAACTATACGATATCACAGACTTTAAAATTTATAAACCAATTAAGAGTAATATACACAATCAGAATGTTCGTAATATCCCTAAATTGTCTAAACCGGTCTGAAACAGACGATTTAAAAATCGGCAATGGTCCCAGGCATTCCAACATTGTGGCTCAATTTATCATTACGTCCCGCCGAATAAATGTTCGGCGTCTTAACATATCCGCCATTTGCCTCGGATTTCTTTTTGTTGAATTCCTGCGGTGGCCCTTTCCCTTCTTTTCCACGATCCACGGATTCTTCCGACATAGACGAGTCGGATCTTTCAAAAGACGCTGAACCAGAATTTCGTCCGCGTAACATATACCAAACTCCGAACCCCCCTCCACTGACTACAACGGACCCTAAAGCACCAACGGCGCCGGCCAAGGCTTCGTTGCCCGTGTCCTGCTCTTCTACGTCAACATCTTCATCGCCGTATTTGCACGTGCACTTAGGTACAACGTTACACTGTAAACAGATATGATAATATTCATACATGTATGCTATGTACCATAAAATATTTTTTTTTACAGAATATCTAACAAAATTATATATGTGATATTAATACCAAATACATAACTTTATATTTATAAATATATTCAAATGTATAACGTTATAAATAGTAAAATCAAAATGTCAAATCTGTTGTTTCGTTTTTTCTTTCTCTCAGAACAAATCAGGCATTTCAATACGGGAAAGTGAACTAAAAATTAAGCTGAGATTCATATACTTATCTCTTAAGCGATTTTATACCATAAAACACACAGGTTAATAAAATGTATTTAATAAAGAATCTAAAACAAACAATGATATACCTGTTGTCCGTAGACTACGGCCACTATTGTTACAAAAACTGAAAATAACACCAATCTCCTCATGTAATTTTCCATTCTTTTTCAAACATCTAATGTTGTAACGAGATTAAATAACCAAGGTTCATGAATTGCTTATCAAAAATTGTTAGGCTTGTTGGAATATTCGATTAAAACGATATCGCCCAACGTTTCGGTTTGGAAAAGATTAGCGGATTTTATGGGGATTCGATATTGTCCGTTTGATTTATCTAAACAACCTTGTTCCGCTTAAAACATTTACGTGAAAATTATTCTTGATACATAAACACATTATTATATTATTATATTCACAATATTTTTACAGATAAACATTTTGTTCACCTCTACCCGGTGTCAACGAAGAGTTAACTTTGTTTGAATGAACATTTTAATATTTTTTATAATGAAATCAAATATGGATGAAAATTCATCCAGAAGCTGTAGTCTTTTCATGGTTTTGGTCATGAATGTGTAAGGCAGCGACTTTACATATTAACAGAATATTATTATTTTTAAATTGAGATTGCATCTGTAATGAACTTATGCGGGGCATTTGTTAATAAACCCCTATCCGAAATACTGTAAGTAATTAAGTCGGCGTTGTGCTTGCCATATGAATTGCAATCCTTGTAGATTTATCAAATACACATGCCGCTTTTGCGACTCCGTAAAAATGGTATTGCACGGCCGTGCATATATATTGACATGACGCCCTTTACATTGTACAAACATAGTGTAAAGACGCACTAAATGTAAGCGTTATACTATAGACGCGTCAATGAAAAATGACTTTTTTTACATTTAACGGTCTTTATTTTGGGTATGTGATAAATAGAATATTGAATTCGTGTAAGTTCAATACTGAATCTATTGAACTCGTTGAATAAAATAATATTATGCTCGCCAGAGGTTCGTACGTACAATGTAATTTTATTCAACTCGTGCAATAAATTCAGTATTGAACTTACACTCCTTCAATATCCTCTATTCATCAAATACTCGTGCCACTTTACGACTCCATAAAAATGATATTGCACGGCCATGCATATATTTTGACGTGACGTCATTTACGTTATACATTACAATGATTACCTCCCTTGGTATATTGCAATGAAAATGGCAGAACACTGCATAGGAGATGGCAAACATAGTCTAAAGACGCGCAAAAGACAGTCTTTATTTTGGGTATGTGATAAAATTGAAAATTATATTCGTGTAGGTTCAAATTTATTGAACTCGTTGAATAAAATATTTTGATGATCGCCAGAGGCTCGCTTAATATAATATTTTATTCAACTCGTTCAAGAAAGTCAACAATTTTTTACATGATGGATTAGGATGAAAACGAAAGCCTTAAAGAATTGTGTTCCTCATCAGGCGGGCTTTATGGTCTAAAATAGCAAATTAACGACAGTGTTGTACTTATAAAACTGTAATTATAAAAACACAACGTATCTTTTGTCTTCAAGTGTTGCCACTTTTTATCGTCTTTTCACATTTTCGCCACAAAAATGCAAAAAAAAACAAAAACAAACAAACAAAAAAAAACACAAACAAAAAACACGAAGATACGTCCTGACTTTGTCGTATCTTTGTGTTTTCGCATTATCGGATTTTATGAAAACGCAAAGGTGCAAATCAGCCACCATATTAATTTCGGACAGTTCAACAATATTTCATATCTCAGTCGCATAAAAAATTACACAACCAGTAATTCTCAAAACAAAGGAGATAGAGCATGATCTATGTATAACAATGACTGGGGAGGTATTCCGATTAGCTGGTTAGTGCCAGATAAAAGGCGGGAATCGTTAAACAGCAAGAGTGTATCGATTATCTGTACCTAATACCTTGATAACGATAATCCAAATATAACAAACGTTTCTGACCCCTTTCCCCTTACCTTGGATGAAAGTCAAGTATAAGTGCAATTTAGATATCAAAATGTATATGAATATTGATAAATACTGACGCATTTATTATTGCATTATCAAAAAAGGTGTTTTTTTTCTCTCACAATGCAAATTCAAGTACACATTATCCTTTTAAAAATTATGACGAAATAAAATAAAATATATAAATGGAAAGAAAGAAATAAACAAAAAAGGGAAGAAAATATGAATGAAGGAACGAAGAAAAACGGGTGTCAAGAACCCTAATTAAAGAATGTCGTGTAGACGGATAAGAATAATGCGCACGAGTACATAGCGAATTTTAATTTTATTAAGCAGGAGACTCTCAAGATAAAAAAAAATATATTATTGAACAATTTATCAAGGTCAAAATCAATAAAATTAATGCTAGATAAACATTTAGGGCTTTATTAGTTAAAGATGAATCTAGTATGTATGTTGTTCCCACAGTTAAGTAATTACATGTTAAGGATTACAAACCCTACTGTACAGTACATTTATAATCATTTGGTTTGCTTCTGATTATGAAAAAAGTTGTTTCAATCACGGATTTATATAAATCCGTGTTTCAATCTGTGGTAACGTAAATGTTACTTAAAGTCACTTTGTATATTGTATAGGTCCAAATTGAAAACAAAAACATACTTAATTTCTACACAAAAAAAAAATCCTTTTTCATATGCAAAAAATCTTCTTCTAATTATGTAGTGGTGATTGGAATTGGGCAAAATTGCAAAGAAGTTGTATGACACTTAAAAATAATAAAAAATAATAAAAAATGAATGGTGAATTTTTTGTAATACTTCAAAAATAAATGTTTTGTATTATCTAGAAAAGAATAAAATTAACGAAAAGCTGATTCCTTTTGGTGGCGAATAGGAAATAAATGTATGTTTTTGTAATGCTTTCCCGCAAAATAAAATTTAACATCGGCCAATATCGTAAAAAATTAGTCATTTCCGGAAGGTATTATTCACGGTCTTTGGTATTCAGTAATTTTTATTCGTTCATAACCGGATTTTAGTACATATCGATAATGGATTAGTGATTGTTAATCTTCTAATGCCAAGGATTTTGAAAAAAAAAATAACGTTCTGGAAATAACCGATTTGCTCCGATATTGGCCGTTGTTCAATTCTTTTGACGGGAAAGCATTACAGTAAAACTACTTTAAAATTGACTTCAACTGCGTTCTTGTTAGATCACACTTGACTTAGGCCTTACATGAACAGTAAAATGTTATACAATTTCGTAAGTTAACCACTGTCCGCATCTTGCATTCTCTCAGAGCATGCGCAGTGGTGATTATTTGATATCAGATATAGAGGCATAGTGTTTGATCCCGCGCTTATCCATCAACATTTGCAGACGAGACTCAATTAAGAACTGGGGTCCTCTGTAATAGTGCTTTACAACTGCCATGCCAAAGAAACGGACCGGAATAATTTCATAATCTGTACTAACCAACAATAAAAAAATCAGTATTCTGTAGTGAGTTGCCAATATAGTTCCGGTGGTGTCTCTATAGTCTCTCAAATAAGTTTTAGGTCATTGGAATGTGGTTCAGTGGTATTAACACGCTGGTATAATTAATTATTTTCAGGGATCTTGAAGGTTCGATCCCCCACTCTAACACTAACAATACAAATGATCTTCTAGGTGAGATCTTAAAATCCGAGGTCCCTTGTATTTTTCGGTGCCCTTCACAGGATTTGTCAAATAACAAGGATCGCCTGTATGATGGGACAACTGCTGTGTCCATGCACTACCTCCGAAGAAAAATAAAAGATTCCAACGACTTGAATTGATATACACCCGCCGAAAGATACAAATCCATTGTTTGAAATGTACCTCATAGTATTATTATGATAAAGCCTACAAAAATGAGGAATCATAAAAATATAATGACACTTGAATCTTATCTTAACATTATTTAATGCCATAAATTGCTTATTCATTAAAGGTAGTCAAATTCAAGTGAATAAAAGTACGTGTTTGTCCACATAATAAAACTCCAATCTTGTGAGACCAGGAATAAATTTAATATAATTTAAACATTAACTCAAGTTTTGTCAGTTAATATACAGTAGATATTTTACAAATAAAAATATTCAAATACTATTAAGATTCATCAGCAGACGAGATGATGCTTTGTATAAAATAAACAAAAATTGCAAAATACAAACAATCGTATTAACACAAAATGTGTGGAAAAAAACACTTATTTGAACGCTTTTAACATCGAGTAATCCTTCTTTTTGCACTAAATTAAAAGATAATCATATCTTCACCATAGTTATCTTCCTTTCTTCACGTTTCCATCTAATCAATAATATTCTGAAATAAAAGAAAAGAAATAAAAATAAACAGTTTAATGGTTAAAATACACGTTTTTCATTCCTGAAAGAATTAATTAAACAATTGTATAGTGAAAAAATAGTTATTATCTAGCGACGAGAATGATAGCAGATCTGACCAGACTCTGATGATGTCTGCACGAAAGCATTTTAAAATTCAAACATGAACATTTCGAACTTCAGAACAATTCCATTCGGCAATTTTAGTAAATAATTAAGTTTTCAGAACAGGGGCTTTGAATTATGAAACAAATACCCATAAGGTGCATTTGTATATACGAAACTTGCAATTATTTACAGCACCTAAGAATGATATTATTTGTTTGTTCCCTGTCATCAAATTAACATGGATAAGGCTAAACATAAAGACGAGTACATTAAGTTGCAAGTCTTCGTGGCAGAGGAAACTCCCCGGGCCTTCTCCACAAACGAATGCCTGATAATGGACTTACATCAGCAATCTGAACGCACAGCAAAGAGGTACCTTGTTGAACACTCAACATTTCATGTGTCATTAACAGCATGTAAACAACAACTTATGTAGCTAGTGTTTATTGTAGAAATATGAACTTAAACTTCATAAACGTTGATTTGATCATTCATATAGCTGGAGAAGCCGTTTTGCTTTAATCAAAGATATGTGTACCTTTAAAAAAATGGTTCTAGCAGCAGACGAACATAATTAAGCGAAAAGTCAACGAAATGAATTGCGAACTTACATGAGCAGAACGAAAGCAATACCATCAAATGACGACAGTACTAAAAATACAAAGCCTCTCATGAACTTCACACTGACAGAGTATATAGCACTGGTTCCAACATTACTAAGAAGATTAACAATGATTTCTACAGATGCGAACGCTGCAAAGATAGCTCCTGAAATAATGTTTGCAGACGAAAAGTTCATTAGTTCATTTTTTAGTGCAGTTTATATGTCAAAATGAAAATGTTATGATCAACTGGCGACATATCAGTATATAATATAAATTACGGACGGACATCCATGATACCCCTCCGTTTGTTATTTCACAGTACGGTTGGAGTTTCGTGAAAATCGGACGGAAATCGGTGACACTTTACATTATGATGACCAAGAATTGTTCCACATGTAATAAAGTATCATTTTTGTCTCGTATTCAGAACATCCAGTCTATTCTACTTACAGAGATCTTTTCATCTTAGAATGCAATTAAATGTTACAGAATATATATATTTTTTCATAAAACGACACATGCTTTTATGAATAAACGATTACTTGATGTGTGACTTGCAATCATAGAGCTGATATGTCGAACTTTCAGAGAAGACCTTAGGTGTATTATTTATTCGTCAATTTTAACACAAACGGCCATAAGGCAAAAGGATATACTCTTAGATTTTCCAAAGCCAAATGGATTAAAGTACATGTAGTAAAATGCACAAAAAATTGCATATCGATCGGTAAACTAATCTGAATAGATGTTAGCCTTTTATGTATTTAAATTCTTGTGACTAATTAAGATATCCCTATATCATTATAGGTTCATTTCAGATTAACTAAAAGTAATGAAATGAAAGTTTACCTTGTTTACTAGGTTCAGATAATGAGGACGCGACACTCCTTATAACTATCGACTCTAATGGCCCAAAACTTGATACAGCCGCCGCTAGAAATATAAACAACATATTATCTTACATTAAAAGCAGGGTTCCAACCTAATATGGATTTCTGACATTGTCTCGTGCATTATACGCGGAGCATCTTGTGCATAATAAGCGGTGGTGGGGGTGCGTGAAACGTTATATGGGTCTCCGAAATAGCCTCGTGCATATAGCGGGGAACCAAAACGTTATACGGATCTCCGAAATTGTCTCGTGCATAATTAGCGGGGGACCAATCTTATAATTATGCTTCTCTGAAATTGGCTCGTGCATAATAATCGGGGAACCAGTCTTATATGGGTCTCTGAAATGGACATTTCCAGTGTTTACAGTTTTTTATGTAAATTATAGAAAGCTACCCTGAGGTAATACATAGTCACTTGTTGGCCTGGTTTTCACAAAAGAACACGTGGTTATGTTTGTGATACTGTTTGTGAGCAGTTGACCCAGCAATGAAACTAAATGTTCCGCTACGAAAAACCGGAAAGGTCCATTGCCTCGTGCATTATAAGTGGTGGACCAACGTAATATGGATCTTTGAAGCAATGATCGATGTTTCATTCGTTTGCTCCTGGTTCCCAAAGAAATGATCAATCAATGGTTTGTATGTTTGTTTTACACCATAACGGAGCAAGATTGTTCGATTGTCTGGTGTTTTAATCTTTGTAATCATGAGCATCGTCATCCTCACTAATATCATGTTTGGTGTTTGACTCACCACGAACCACCTTAAGAATTTCCCAAACAGAAAGGCATTAAATGACCAGACAAGAATGGTAACATAGAACGGTTAAATAGCATGCTAAAATTAGTTTTTGAAATTTTAAACATTTCATATTTAACAAATACAGCTTAAAATTATAAAAAAAATATCACACAATCCAATTTCACGAACATACACTCATAACTGTTCATTTAGCCAACATATTTTAACTTAAGTACATTTCAATTACGTTGACCCCTTGCTGTTATTGTTGATGTATTTATCAAAATATGCAGTATCAATTAATGGTATAGATTGGATCATTAAAACTTTCAGAGGATAGGGTGCTCTTAGTCTCTTGAATCGTCTATTACACGAAATAATTAACTACCTTTTTCTTTACTTGTTTGACCCATAAATGTGTTTTTATATTCTGCATATTCTGTCATGACAAAACCAACATAGTGCGTTTGCGACCATCCATGCTGTTCGCTTTCAAACCCTATAACAAGTAGAGAAACTGATAGCGAACAGCATGGATCCTGATCAGACTGCGCGGATGCGCAAGCTGGTCTGGATCCATGCTGGTCGCAATCGCATTACGTTGGTTTTGTCATGACACGGCTCATATTATCTCGGATCTAGTTCATCAAAAGATCTCGTCATTTTTTGCCATCTTGTATTAATTTCTATACTTGAAAAAAGAACTACCTAGATAAAGCATTGCGCTGTTGTTTGCCAGTGCTGTTATAGTGAAACATCCGGCGTAGGACAATACACCTATCATAGCAATACTGACATCTGGTAAAAATAGCTGAAAGAATTTTACAGACCACACCCCAAACACCATCATTCCAACTGTCCTTGCCGCCCCATACAACCCAACCTGTAAAGAAAGTGGATAAAAAAGAATGCATCACTCATAATATTGAAAACTTAAGTTAGAGTAACAATTTTCCTGGAAAAAATCACACATATAAGATGTAAAATACAATCTTTAAATTCACGTATCATTTTTTACAATTAATTTGAATACACGTATTTATCTTAAAATTGTGATTAAACAATAAAACTTCTTGCATATTTACCTTTTCAGCACTCCAACAAAATGGCGTGGACATTTGATAAATGGTTTCTGTACCTATGCGTCCAAGAAAGCTAAATTCGCAGAAACCATGGGCTAGCAGTAAAAACTGATATTTCCATCGGTTGCTGCCATAGTCTTTAGATATGAAAAATGAGAAACTGTGCCCAACTACTTCCCTGAGAGATTTGCCTGTTTTTCTTTTCTCCGGGGGAAATGATTCTGGTAGAAGAACCAACATCATAAAAAACGCTATTGTTAGTAGGACTACGGCAGCTGCCAAAGGAACGTAGAAGTTATAATTTTGTATAAGATATCCTGCTGCAAAACTGGCCAAAGTTAATGAGCTTCCAAGCATAAACATAATATATGCCATTCCATTAGTTCTTTGCTTGCCAGGTTTGGTAATATCCCCCGCATATGCAAGACATACTTGAAGGAATGTGGCATACTGGCCGGTGCAACCTTCTATGAAGCATGCTCCAATGAAATATAACATATCAAATTTGAAATATATGATAATAACCGAAAATATCAACCGTAATGTTGTTCCAGAAATTCCTACGCCAAGTAAAAATTTCCTACCTAGTGCGTCTGTATACGAGCCAAGAATAAGGTTCGACACTACGGCTGGAATACCTTGAGATAAACTATAATAGACCATATATTGTGCAGCCATAGACGTCGCTTCACTCTCAACTTTGAATTCTGGACTACTTTTATTTGCAACACACACAGATAAGGACGAACTGTTTACAGAAATATTTGCTTCTTTAAACTTTATGTCATGCCACGTCTTATTGGTGTATTCTGTAATGGTATAATATGACATCATGTAACCAAACATATAAACCGATAAAAGAGGTCCTATTAGATAACGTCTCCATGACGTCAGCTCTGCTGGTGCTCCACCGGAAATAGTTCCATAACCGGAAATACTGTCGTCTCCATTTATAACGGTTTTTAAAGGTCTTTTTGAATTTTCGGTGCCAGATATCGTCTTCATTTTTGCACTGTATATTCACTTTCCAAAAAAAAAAAAAACAATAGAGAAAAAAAATATGCCATAAATAATTTAGTCACATTTTCCTATTTGAATGTATGTGTAGACAATTTATAACTAAAATTCAAATATTTTTTCATTTGATTTATATACATTTACGACATAACAATGACATTATCAGGTGCAAACCTGTGAGTATCATATACATGCTGTGATTATCGTATATATGTACATAAACACCGTTATCAAAGGGTTATTTAACCACAATACAACACACTGATAACATATAATATATTAACATTAAAGGGTATAAAATTATATGTAATGAAATATTTTAATAAAAACTATAAACAGTTAATTTATATTGTTTCCATAATTTTATGACTGATTCTTGAAAAAGTTATAACAAACAATGTCTCTGTTATTTAACACACATGTATATTATTAGTTATAAAGATCGTTGACAGGTTATATGGCCCTATATAAACAGCTATTTGTAAATATAACCCGAGCCGCTAGGCTCGCATAATATAACTTTATTCAACTCGTGCAATAAATTCAGTATTGAACTTACACTCATTCAATATCCTCTATATATCAGAATGAAAAGATAGCTGCACTATGTCTGATAACACTTTTTGTTGAGGTTATCTCCATTCACCATCATATAAATTAAATTTTACATTATTTCCTTGTTAAAGTTTTGGTATTAGTGCATATGACTTAATTATTTCGATTTTGATGCATTGAAGGTCATCTTCAAAAATATTGTTTAAAAACTTTCTACATTAGTTCTAATATTTTGGACATATTTTTTCTATTAAATTTAATGAACAATTCCGATACTTCCTATCTCCCGAAACACATTGGTTTCTTCCCTTTTTATTGTCAAGATCGTGAGCTGATAGCCTGAAAGTTTTCAAAGTTATCCTATGAATATCTTTATTTACAAGTACAAATGTTGCTGCAATGCAGCAATTGAGAAGCTCCGCGCAAAAAAAATGTGCTCGTTACAGATACCTTGCCAAATTATTCCTACGCACAGGTCATGTTATATTCAGATTAAGTACTATTGTAGATTTTTTTCCGAATGTTTTGCAAACCATTTTTTGCATAATTATGCTTATCTTATGCACCGTCCATAATTAAAAAGAGGGGCCAGATATTTAATTTGAAAAAATGCTTTCACTGATGCCTACCTGGTAAGGATTGAAAACAAACAAGACTTACAAGACTTGTAAATGTTATTTGACATGACTGTACTGTGTTACTGTAGTCAGTAACATAAGATGATAAAAATATCAAAGTCTGTTTTTTATTATTATAATTGTAACAAATATACAAATACAATGTAGTAACAAAAGGAACTAATATTATAATATAGTAATATTTACATGCATTTTTTCATGTCAAATTTAAAAAAAGGTTTCTTTAAACACTGATAGAAGACTGTTACCTGAATTTTAGGCAGGTATGAGGAAATTCACTAACATCATGTTCGTACGAGTCAAAGATATAAAAACTACTTGACATTAGTGATATATAAAAAGTAATTGTTAATTGATTTATTGGGAGATCAATATACTTTTTTGCTAAATTGCTTTAAAACCTTTCATAAAATCAAAGCACAGAAGGCGCTGAATTTGTTTGGGTCTCAGAATGTCAGAAAGGTAAAGATTATTAACCAATTTGTTTTTGTATGCCACCAATGCTTTCCAGCGTTTTAATTGTAGTAAATTGGCTATAAGACTAATTGCAGCACTGACATTCAATCCAATGTTTATTTGACTTAAACAATTTGAAAAATAAATGAGTTGCATTAACTGGGATTTGAACGCCAGACCTCTCGCTTCCTAATGCGGCGTTCACACAGTGTCGATTATGGCTCCCGTTTGAGATCAGACAGCGCTACGACACGAAAAGCGAAAAAGTCGGATTACTATCCTCAATGATCTGGAATGTCCTATCATTGTCTTAACGCAGTCGTATATGTTCGGAAATGGTCCGGAGTGGTCGGTCAAGCACTCCCGACAGTTAGGTGCGTCCCGTAACATTCGGGAAACTCAGACGATTTTGTCAAGTCGGATTACAATCGTTACTAATCGTGACAGATTCTGCTGTATCGGATCAAAATCGTAACAATGTCCTGTGTTGTCTGGTCAGTGTCCTGTTGAACGGGCATGATCTGGAGTAATTTTGCATTGCCGTTTCTTGCCGATTGAGTCCAGATTGCGTCCATCTTGCCGAATGCGAACCGTCTTTGCCGAATCCGTTCCGGAACACTTCTGTAATAAATACGAAATTCGGCAATAATACCCACGTCAGAGTCACGACAATTACAGAACACATTACGACTGAGTCCAGACAAAGGCGTGTGCAATTCGGTACAGCAGACTGTAATAGGATTGCGTTCCGACAGTGTCCCGATCATCCCGAATATGGCGACAGTTGTAGGATTCCAGATGCGTAGATTTCCTGATTCGGCTGAGCTTCTCACGTATGGAGTATAACGTGTATGTTTGTGTGTCATACATTGACAGTACTTTGACCGGTCCACCATGAATGCTGCTCGGAGACGGAGACTTCTGCAGCAGGTTGCTCTCATGGAAATGGAAGAAGAAGACCTTCTGTTTGCCAATTATTATTTGAACAGAAGGGCACTGCGACCCGGTAGAAATAGAAGATACTGGGTCAAGCCCTGGATATACAGAAGGGAGCAGCTCGGCCAGTATGACACATTGATGAGGGAGCTGAGAGAAGAAGATCCAGAAGCTTTCATCAACTACATTAGGCTACCCATGGAACTATACGATGAAGTCCTGGCTCGGATCACACCCCGCATCACCAAACAAGATACCTGGTGGAGGCAAGCCCTTGATCCAGGACTGAAGTTTGCCTGTACCATGAGGCATCTGGCATCCGGCGACAGTTATAGCAGCATAAACTTCAGGGTTCCCAGTAACACCATGTCAATGTTTGTCCCTGAAGCCTGCCAAGCCATCATTGATCAGTACGCTGCAGAGGTAATCGCCTGTACCACTTGCCAAGCGGAGTGGAAGGAAATCGCAAATGAATTTCTGGAACTTTCCACATGTGTGCGGTGCATTGGACGGAAAACAAGTTGCGTGCAAGTGAACAACAAATACCGGATCTACCTACCATAACTACGAGTGCTTCTTCTTCATAGTTCTGATGGCCCTCGTAGATGCGGACTATAACGGATGTCTTCCGTCAGAGTCTGTTCATTGTCTGGTCACTGTCTGAGCTCTGTCAGATCGCATTCGGGAGAATCGGTACGCTGTCGGGACGGATTCGGTCGTTTTTTACCTTGACAAAGATACAAATCGGATCAGAATCGGATTGAGAACGGGATAATCGGGACGAATTCTGCTGGAAACGGCTGGATCGGGACGCCTCCTGAACAATATCTGATTGTTGTCGTGATTAAATAAATGTTTTTACAAATTTTAAAAAAAGTTTGAATTTCCAGCCACGAATCACAGGATTTTGATCAGACTTTTGACACATTATAATCGAGAATGGTCCTATCAAGGAAGGCAGTAAAATCCTGAATGTGTGACTTAGGCTTACGCGAGCGCGCAACGCCTCGGCCACGGTGAATTTATATGTTAACGGCCTGAAGAAAACCATATTATTCTAAATTAGGGTTTGTAACGACGCTAACTGTTGTTTAACACAGATGTAAATAATCATGGATATCTATAAAGAATAAAACAATATTAGAAATGTTCGACCATTCAGGAATTATTTTGCTTGAAAATTAATGCGCCTGTCATTTGACCATCTTTACGCAGTGATCTCCCCTGAATTTTTCGGCGTTAGTGTGCATATAAAGGGAAGTAACCGCTTCAAAAATGCGGACTACTTTCGGCAATTGCAATTAACAGCATTAGAGTCTGAAATTTCGCTACCATTATTTGTTTGGTCTGACGACCCAAACAAATAAAAACATACACCTCATGTTCAAACTACAGATCAAAGTTTCAGTTGTTACCAATGATGCAATCTATCTATCTATAGTCTATGCTTAATGAGGGTCCATCCCCCGTACGGGCACAAAATGCAGCTTTCGCTGTCGAGTACGGACCCCGGACATGTCACCAAGCACAAAAAGTTGATAATTTACCTCCAGACGAGTATTAGTCATTTTAGATTTTTGGAGGATAGTGCAATTACAGATACAGAAAGATGTCCCAATTCCAGAAGCTTCTCCTGGTTCTTTAGCGTGCCAAGTGTTTAAGCACCCATACACGGGACCTCGATTTAAATTCTGTTAGCCAGCCCGGGAATCGAACCCTCAATGTCGAGATTACAGGTCTCGCGCTCTAGCCAATAGAGCTAAGCTGGGCTGGCTACCCCGTACAGGCTCAAAATGCAGCTTTCGCTTTTTTTCTTTCTTTTTTTTAATGCGTTTATTTAAGGTCGCCGCCGGAAAGCCCATATGGGCGGCCGTACACTCAAGTCGGGCCATCCTAGAGCTTCCCGCCGAGATTTTTTCGTCGATTTTTTCCAGCTTTTATTGGTGGAGGAAGACCCTCAGGTGCCCCTCCGGGCATTATTTCAGGCACGAGCGGGAACCTGGGTAGAACCACCGACCTTCCGTAAGCCAGCTGGATGGCTTCCTCACATGAAAGATTTCGACCCGAGTGAGGATCGAACCTACAGCGGTGAGGGACCTTTGATCTCAAGTCAGCGACCTTAACCACTCGGCCACGGAGGTGCGGAGCAATAACGCTTGATATATTTTTAAATAGGTTTAAAAAGGCTGTAATGAAAGTCTGCTAGAATTGTGGCTGTTTCTGTCACAGGGTGAGAAAAATGTGCAGCCTGACCGGGACTCGAACCCAGGACAAACGGAATACTGTTCCGCGGCTCTACCGACTGAGCTATACGGCCGCTTACACATCTCCTCTAAATAGCGAACAGTTCTAAACCGTGACATACTCCCCTGCTATATTGAAATTTGTCCTCGAATTTCAGAGATACAGAGCAATGTGAATTAAACTCTGATCTCTATTCAGTCACGTCCCAACGTTGGGCGCCAAATGTCACAGGGTGAGAAAAATGTGCAGCCTGACCGGGACTCGAACCCGGGACCATCGGAATACCGTTCCGCGGCTCTACCTAGTGAGCTATACGGCCGCTTACACATCTTCTCCCCTAAATATTGAACA